GAGATGACAACGACTTGGTAGACACAAAATTTATTATCAAAACATGAATATTTCAACCCGTCCTCGGGCCTTCTTCAGCATGTGTGTGTATATATGTGTATATATACACATAGGCCTATATATAGGCCTATAATAATGGAAACGACAACCTACATCTTTCTCAAATAGAAGACAATTTCGATTTGCGCGACGACACGACGCTAGAACGGAACAATTCATTCGTGACCGTCCTACGTCTTCTGCATACGTAGATTTAGCCAAATTGCGTCCTAGACGAATCGCGACAAGAACTTAACGCTTTCGCATGCGCAGATGACTCTTGGTGACGTCATTACGTTTTACGTCCTACCATCGTCGTGCAATCGAAAGCTCTCTACTGTCGTTTTGAGCGACCTTAGCTGTGCCAGTAGCTTGGTCGAAAACGTTGATCATAAGATCCATATGTTCAACAAACACGCCTTGGTAAATCCAGTTTCGCATATGAATAAATTGCCATTAACCATATGTAATTCACCGAATATTTTTATTTTCAAAATGAAAATTCATACCTTTTATGTTCATGGTATTTCTAATTCTAAAACATTTATGATCCAGTATATTCATTTTATATGTTTTTGTGCCCTCTTCCATTTTCGGTCTTTTTTGTCAGTAGTACGGAGCAAGTTAATTATTATTAAGAAATATATTATTTAGGGCCGTGATATAAATAATCTTACTCGCTTCAAGGTCCTCATTCCATGTAAAATTTCAATTGCATTTATTTATATTCAAAATTTTGGAATAAATTTATAGAGCAAATATCATAATATCACTGTTATCACTATCACACTACTCATCATCACAGGGACGTTCCCAGGATTTCGAAAGGGGGAGAGTCGTTATGTGAGGTACATGGGACCGGGGGGGGGGGTTCGAAGTTCGAATTTCCCCTGGAAAGTAGCGCGCTCTTAAGGGTTTTAGGACTGTTTTGAGATGATAAAGTGAACATTGCAATAAACGCATCATAAATAATATTAGTAAGCCTAACAATAATTATATAAAACTCAACAGTAGTGGATCCAGGAATTCAAAAGAGAGGTGACCCAGGGACGGACTTTTACAGATTGAGGAACCATCCAAAAAAAATTTATGATTAGGGCACCTCTAGATGGCCGGAAATTACACTAGCAGGCTTAAATTTGGATAGGGGGAGCCCCCTTATATTTTTCATTTTTTCTCCTTTAAAACAATTTAGGGGGAGGGGACCTTGAATCAACCACTGCTCAAAACATTCTTTATCCAAAATAGTCATAAACACGAAAAATGGGCACGTAAAACCAGATCACATCCTAAAAACAAATTTATGCACACTCGCCTCATCAGCAGTCACTAAGACAGGTGTCGACTCGATGGAGTTTAATGTCATACCTGGATGGAGTTTAATGTCATACCCGGGAAGGGTGCAATCTGTTAAAAAAAAAGGTGGGGGGGGGGAAGTTTTGTAAGTTGACACCCACCTCAAAGCAGTGACTTCACAACCAACTCAGCCCCACCATAGTTTGGGCTGAGGTAAGAAAATTTGAGGAAATAGTACTTCTAGATGGCCGGAAATGACACTTTTATATAGTAGAATTCATCATCATCATCACTTCATCATTATATAGTCAAAATGAAGCGCCAACAAATATCTCATGATCTTTTATCAGGGATCTACTTAATATCCAGGACAACTTAGGCTTAACTATAGCTTACTAAGCTTTAACAATACTATAATAATTATGATCACAAATCACAACTTACTTTTTTGCCTTAAGCATAATATTCTTCACTTTTTAATATTATTATCTATTATCACCATCGTAAGGACCATCATCGTTATTATCATAACAATAATAATTATTACTGTAGTATTAAAACAAAACTTTATAGAGCTTGCAAAAGGATAAAAGCCAAACTGAACCATACAATATCACATTTCTGCATCTGAAAAGACCTATATATTTATGGATTTAAGATTTTAAAAAATCACGCTTAGGCCTAGTGTTATTATAGTAGGCCTATGTATATCGTGTTGGGGGGGGGGGGGGGGGGGGCCCCCGGCCCCCCCCCCCCCCCCCCCCCCCCCCCCCCCCCCCCCC